GATTTTATACGAATTTTTAAAACTTAATCGGCGAAATTGCAAAATTCGAAAAAATTCTCGATCATTTCAAAAATTTATTTCTCAAAAACTGAAAGTGATTTTTCAAAACGGCTTGTTGCATTAAAAAGAGGATACTTTAATTAATAATTGGTGATATTTCCACAAGGATCCTTCAAGAAATTAATTTTATAGCGAATTTTGAAAATTATCGATAAAAATTGTAACATCGAAAATTTTATCAAAACTTCAAACATTGTTTTCTCAAAAACTAAAAGTTATTTTTCAAAAAGGGTTGGTTCATTTTAAAGAGGACACTTTTATTAACACTTTGGGAAATTTTCATACTCATATTCCAAAAAATGGATTTTATATGAATTTTTAAAACTTAATTTTGACGAAAATTGCAAAATTAGAAAAAATTTTCGATTTTTTCAAAAATTTATTTCTCAAGATCTAAAAGTGATTTTTCGAAACGGCTTTTTGCATTAAAAAGAGGATACTTTAATTAATAATCAAAAGTGATAACAGCGATAGTTCTGTTAGTAATGAATATGATGATGAATTACAAGCGAAGAGAAGAAAACTAAACGAAATTGTAGCAAAAGATTTTATATAATAATAATAATAATAATCCAACACCTAAAAGAGATACTAATTCCTGTGAGTGGTTCCACCACTAGTTTTAAGGTTCCTTGGTAATGATAGAAGAAGAATTCAAGTCATTTAGAATATGCAAAAAGCTGATTGGTGTGAACCAAAATGATTCTTATCAATTATATTATATTCATTATATTTAAAAATTTGTTTTTGTTTTTTTTTGACGGCTTTTCAAGTTTGGCGGAAATTTGAAAAGGTGATTGGTGTGTGTCAAAATGGTTAAAATCAATTGATAATGTATTAAGGATACTTGGTTAAAATGAAAGAAATATTTTTATGCTACATTAATTAATAGTATATATTTTTTTAAATTTAAAGTCTCAAAATGATTTATAATAAATAATTTTGATTTTATGAATAGCGTCGGGGTAAAATCGTTCTAGGTCAAAGGTCGCATGTGGTTTTGAACGTCGCGATATCTGATTATGTTAAATGTTTTATGATCGCTTTGTTTTACGTTCATAAATAACGTGGCGAACGTTACATTATCCGCTTTGCACTATGCACATCCCTTCCATTGTTAGTTTGGGGACCAATTCAAACCCGAAAATAGATTTTTTTTCCGATTTATCGACGAAACAAGAATCATCCCGCGAAATTGAAATAAAAAAAGTAATAAACATTTAACGGAAGCTTGAGGCCACACGAAATAAAGATTTTTAGTTTAATTTAGTGGTTAATTTTAGTTTTAAAAATTAATTTCTCTTCGTCACTTGCAGAACCGATCCGGACCTCACGCTTCCGGTGAATGCAACCGTTTTTGGACCCATTTCGGCCTTTCGCTCGGACCATCTAAGTGTATCAACGCCTCACAGAATACCATGAACAAATTTGGAACAAGGAACCAGATGCACTGATAAATACGTACTGAACACCCTCCAAAATTAATAAATCAAATTTATTAATCAAACGAGAACTATATAATTATTAAATCGAATAATCGAATAAAAAGTTCTTTTGAATGAACAAAACTGTGTATACTATAGCATGTAAGTGTAAAAAAGAAAATTATTATATTCTAGTGTAAGTAATAATTATACGTAATATTAAAGTATAATTACGTCAAATGCCAGACAAAAAGTTAGTACTATTTTTCGATCGAAGAAAATCGATTTTAGGCGACTTCTTTGTGTGCCATAATCACGGTGATGTTAAATAACGTAATACGTAAATGAACACTCCATTTTTGTTGTTTTATTTTTATTATTATTTCCTTTCACACCGGTTATAAAAGCTTCTCTTCTATCCTATTAGAAATTAGAAAATTTAGTCATATAAACAGAAAAGGATTTAGATATCTATGTAAATGTTTAAACGTGTAAATAGTTTGCAGAAATCTCTCGCCTAAAGAATTTATACGTAAATGTGTGAATAAAACTATTAACAAAAAAAATGATAGTGTGTAACGTCTTAGAATTAGATTGGTATTAAAAATGTAGGATTTTCTTTTGGTCCCATTTTTAAGTTAGTTAATTTTATTTAAGGACTGAACGATAGTACAACTCAACACGTATACGGTTTTTCTACTTAATTAAAAGTTAAAATTAAAAATTAACAAAGATTTCAATAAATTGAATTGTAAAAAAGGTCGGAACTTGTACCTTGCAATATTAAGTGTAGTATTTTTTTAATAAATGTAATTAATTAATATAAAAAACCCGGTGTGATAAGGAACGATTATTTTTTTTATATGCAGCACCTAACTGTGTATAAATTTTATTTTAATTTTTATAATGTTTAAAGTTTAAAAAAATTGTACATAGATTTGTAAAAAAAATTAAAATTAAATCTCTTTTTCCAATAGCTTTTAAGTATAGCTTATATATTATAAATATTATACATAAACGATATACATAGTAATTATTATTTTTTAAATTAATCTTGTTTTATTATGTTTATATTTTTGTTTTTGAAATGTTTTTTTTTAATGTATAAATCAAAAAAAAAGTATAAATTATATTTTATATCGAACGAAGAAAAATGGAAAGAACAAATTTTATTATTACTCATTAATTTCTACCTATTATTAATACAAAAATATGATCGGAATAATATTCGTTGCTTGTTGCTCAAAAAAGTAATAAAAAAACTTAGGAAGACGAAAAAAAAAAAAAATCAATTGTGTAAATATAGTGTACTATCTTTCTCGCTCTCATCCCGCATAACTTTGTATTTTTCGCCTGTTCCGTCTTTCCTTCTTCCTCTTAATCTAAAAAAACAACAAGTTCTACGTCTTGTACATGTGTGACTGTAATTTATTTTAATAAAAAGGTATTGTTCACTATTTACAATGAGTTTTGCATTTATTACCCCGCAACAAAAATCCCGAACTAAAATTTTATTTATTTATAAAATTAATATTTCGCGCGAAAATAATTCTCGTCCCCTTTCCGCACGATAAATTTGATATTTGTCGATTATATTTACGCTTAACAATCCATTTACTAAACAAAACTCATTTTTTGATTTATTAAATAAAAACGAATACGAAAAGTTTTATAAACGGGAATTTCATGGATTAGATTCATTAAACATTTAAAAATTCGTTAAAAATTCAGTTTCTTAGATAATTCTTTTGAAAGTTTTATTACTAATAATATCTTTTTAATGTTGAAATCCGATTTTGGAAACATCATTTAGTTTTTGAGAAAATAATGTTTGAACTGAATTGAAAATTGTAACATTTTCTATGATTACTATAAAAATTCGTAAAAAATCGATTTATTAAGCCATCGATATGAAGCATATACAATTTATAAAGAAAAATGAGTTCTTAATGTTGAAATCCGTTTTTGAAAACATCATTTAGTTTTTGTGAAATTAATGTTTGAATTTAACCGAAAATTGTAACATTTTCTATGATTATTATAAAAATTCGTAAAAAATCGATTTCTTAGGCCATCGATCTGAAACTTACATAATTTATAAAGAAAAATGTGCTCTTTTTGATGATGAAATCAGTTTTTGAAAATATCATTTAGTTTTTGAGAAAATAATTTTTAACCTGAATCGAAGGTTTTAGCACTTTGTATAGTTATAAAAATTCCTAAAAAATTGATTTGTTATTAAATTGTTATGAAACTACCACGATGTATAAATAAAAATGTGCTCTTTTTGATGGTAAAATCCGTTTTTGAAAACATCATTTAGTTTTTGAGAAAATAATATTTGAACTGAATCGAAAATTGTAACATTTTCTATAATTATTATAAAAATTCGTAAAAAATCGATTTATTAGGCCATCGCTATGAAACTTACACAATTTATAAAGAAAAATGAGTTCTTTTTAATGTTGAAATCCGTTTTTGAAAATATCATTTAGTTTTTGAGAAAATCATTTTTAAACTGAATCCAAGGTTTTAACACTTTGCATAGTTATAAAAATTCCTAAAAAATTGATTTGTTATTAAATTGTTATGAAACTACCACGATGTATAAATAAAAATGTGCTCTTTTTGATGGTAAAATCCGTTTTTGAAAACATCATTTAGTTTTTGAGAAAATAATGTTTGAACTGAATCGAAAATTGTAACATTTTCTATGATTATTATAAAAATTCATAAAAAATCGATTTATTAGGTCATCGCTATGAAACTTACACAAGGTATAAAGAAAAATGAGTTCTTTTTAATGGTGAAATCCGTTTTTGATAATATCATTTAGTTTTTGAGAAAATCATTTTTAAACTGAATCGAAGGTTTTAGCACATTGTATAGTTATAAAAATTCCTAAAAAATTGATTTGTTATTAAATTGTTATGAAACTACCACGATGTATAAATAAAAATGTGCTCTTTTTGATGGTAAAATCTGTTTTTGAAAACATCATTTAGTTTTTGAGAAAATAATGTTTGAACTGAATCGAAAATTGTAACATTTTCTATAATTATTATATAAATTCGTAAAAAATCGATTTATTAGGCCATCGCTATGAAACTTAAACAATTTATAAAGAAAAATGAGTTCTTTTTAGTGTTGAAATCCGTTTTTGAAAATATCGTTTAGTTTTTGAGAAAATATTTTTTAACCTGAATCGAAGGTTTTAACACTTTGTATAGTTATAAAAATTCCTAAAAAACTGATTTGTTATTAAATTGTTATGAAACTACCACGATGTATAAATAAGAATGTGCTCTTTTTGATGGTAAAATCCGTTTTAGAAAACATCATTTAGTTTTTGAGAAAATAATGTTTGAACTGAATCGAAAATTGTAACATTTTCTATGATTGTTATAAAAATTCGTAAAAATTCGAATTATTATGTCATCGATATGAAACATACACAATGTATAAAGAAAAATGAGTTCTTTTTAATGGTGAAATCCGTTTTTGAAAATATCATTTAGTTTTTGAGAAAATAATTTTTAAACTGAATCGAAGGTTTTAGCACTTTCTATAGTTATAAAATTCGTAAAAAATCGATTTGTTATAAAATTGTTATGAAACTACCACCATGTATAACCAAAAATGTGCTCTTCTTAATAGTGAAAACCGATTTTGAATATATCCTTTAGTTTTTGAGAAAATAAGGTTTGAACTGAATCGAAAATTGTAACATTTTCTATGATTATTATAAAAATTCGTAAAAAATTGATTTATTAGGCCATCAATCTAAAACTTACACAATTTATAAAGAAAAATGTGTTCTTTTTAATGTTGAAATCCGTTTTTGGATATATCATTTAGTTTTTGAGAAAATAAATTATTGTAAGATATAACATTACATAAAATAAATTGTTATGGAACTATCACGATGTATAAACTACAAAAATATTATACATATACAGTAATGTCTCGATAATCCGTATGAGTGGTAATTCGAAGTACTCTGTAATCCGTACCAAAACTCGATACTCGATGATCTGAATATGAGTATCCTACAATCCTCTTCTATGTATTAGAAGATATTTAGAAAGAAGTGCTATCATGGTCCTTGTAATAGAGAAACATTGCATACAGGAGAACTTCAAAAAAAAATGGAAAATGCATTGTATTCATGATTTAAAAAAAAGATTTCGTCTTTGGATTAATTTCTATGAATGTTTGGCTAAGCAAACTAGGGTTGGGTTGGGTTGGGTTACTTTTATGCTTGTGCTTGCTGGATGGCAAAATTTAGAAACAGATATCGCTTGTGAAATTTGATTTGATTTTGCTGGTGAGAATAATTTTCAAGCAATTGCACCGCTTAAAAAAGTTGGCTCAACACATTAGAAAAGAAAACTAAAGCCCTAATTTACTATACAACACAGCCGAGTCAGCTTTATTTTATAAAACTCTTCCAGATAAAACTTTGGTGGGATCTAACAAAAAAATAATATCAGGGTGTAAAAGAATTGATCAGAATACAACCCGCTTAATAAAACTATTTTACCTAAAGACTCTTAGAAGATAAATTTGTACCATGCGGTATGTCTTTCTGCTTCATGAAAAAAATGACATCTTCGTTAATTATGAAATGTTGGAAAAACTTGTACAGCAATGAAGAATTGATGCCAAACAAAACATAATTGCGGCATGATTATCCAAAAAGTCAACAGCCAAAAAAGAATAAGAAAAAAATTTTTAATTAACATTAAATTAGAATTTATTTTAATTATTTATACATAGTTGCATAAATTTGTCAATATTGATAGATTTCCGTCAATTTGAATTTGCATCAATTAATTGCATTTTCTTTTATTTCCCCAAATAAAAAGAATGTTTCCAGTAATCCGAAATATCGTTTAATCCGAATTGCCCTTGTTTTAATTGATTCGGATTATCGAGTCATCACTGTATTATAAAAGTATTGTATCTTGTTGTTAATGAAGTGAAGACCGGTTATAACGAACACGTGATATAACGAGCATGCCTTCAGCTCCCGTCAAAAGTCCTTACAATGTTAAAAATGTCGAGAATCGGCTATAACGAACTAATTTTGTATATTTTATACCACTTATATTGAGCGTATGAGATAAAGTAATTCATAAACTGTAGAACTATATCTACGGAGAAAATCTTTCCAGTTGAACAGAAAAAAATGACCACAAACCACAAACTTACAGTATACAAAAAAAGAGAAAATGAATCTCAAGCACTAAATAGGTCTACGGAGGTCTCAAGGAATTCCCGTATAGAATAGAATCCCTTCTTTAGCAAGAATGTTTTTAACTTCCCAAGCAACTCGTCCGCTGGAAGAGCTCTCACACTATGTGGCAGGTGATTATACAATTTTTGTCCCATGTATATAGGACCTGATTGTGTCTTGCATAACCGCGCAAAGTCTGGGTAGAGGTCTTCTCTCCCACGCGTTTCATACGGGTGAATATCACCGTGCATCCTTAAGGAGTTCATGCTCTCCAAGATGTATCCCACGCAGCGAAGGATGTACAGAGATGGAATGGTGAGTATAGACTGCGCAATAAAAGCATTTCTGCAATCATCACGATAACCTAAACCCGTTACTATTCTTACCGCCCTGCGCTGCAGCCCGAACATGTGAGCAGCTTCAGGGGCTGCTCCCCATGCTAGTATAGAGTAAGACAGTATGGAATGAACAAATGCAAAATAAGCACTTTTTACTACTTTTGGCGTAACAGTTACTGCAAGCCGCCTTAGGAGAAATATATTACGGTTAACTTTTTTGCCCATCTCCACACTATGTTCGTGAAAACGCAACGCAGGAGCGGCGATGTAGAGGCCCAAAAACTT